TCAGGTCCCTTCCAACCCTAGAAACTATGAAACTATGCTCCCGTTACATAAGCAAGGTAAAGCCCTATTCTGCTGCCCAATAGCGCAGCACGTTCCTGAACGCCTGTGCAGCACAATGCCCTTTCGTCCACTCGCGTGAGCTTTGTGCACTCGCCCAGCCCAGGGTGCAAATCCCACGTGCTGTGCTGCGGAGGCCACGTGCACCCTGGGATCATCAGGCACACGCCTGCAGCGATGCTAACCAAGGCCTTGCAATGCTGGCCAGCAGCCCACGGACTTTGGCGGTGTTTGCACCAGCCAGCATGAGACCTAGGTGCCTGTGAGGTCCGACTCCAGCCCTGGGCAGTCCAGGGGTGTCAGGCCCAAGCCAGTCTCAGCTGCTAACCCCAGCCCCACAGCAGGTCAGCTTCTCCCTCGGCGGGGACCCCGACAACCCCTGCCTGCAGCCAAGCTCTCCGGAGACCCTCGCCCCACCTCCTCCAGGCAGGTAACAAGCCCACCGCAGTTCCTGAGCCAGCTGCGGGCAGGGGGCCACATCAGTTACCCCCGGTGCTGCTCACATAAGCAGTGCCACTGCAGTCCACAGCGCCTCCGCGGGGAGTCAGGTCCACCTCCCTCCAGCAAGGGCTGGGGACACTGAGGGAGACAAGAGTGCCGAGAGTCCGGGTGCTTTATTAGTAAATATTATTCTAGGCAAGGTTTGGGGGAAATAAGCAGGAAAAGGAACAACAGTTAGAAGGGAAGCAGGTTGCTAAGAGTGGTGCGGTTGATTTTCTCTCTGATCAAACGCTCTGTTGACCACGAAGCCATAGTCTTGCCGTCCCGCTCCTTGGTCTAGTTCATCCGTTGAGCGGTTCAAGGACCAAGACCTTTGACTGCCTAATCTTGACTGATCGTTCCTCTTCCTTCTGTAAGGAAAGAGTTGACGTGGGGTTACTGGTTTGCTCTTCCATGCTGCCTCGTGGTTAGGGACCAGCGTGAGCAGACTAATGGGATCTGGGAGGGACTGAGGGGCCCAGTGGGCCACATGCAGGGCGGGTTACACCGTAACCGATGGCCATGTGCAGAGTGGGTTACACCGTAACCGATGGTCACGTGCAGGGTGGGTTACAACATAACTGATGGCCACATGCAGGGTGGGTTACGCCGTAACCGATGGCCACATAAAGGGTGTGTTACACCGTAACCGATGGCCACGTGCAGGGTGGGTTACGCCGTAACCAGTGGCCTGAGCACCGGGTTGCGTCTCGCTGTGCTGGTAACCGGTGCGAATGCTGCAGCTCCCCGGCCCTGCTCCTATGTCGTGCAGCTGTGCAAACCCTTACCGGTATCCCCAGAGCACCAGGGAGATGATCAGCGCCAGCACAACCACACCGGCAGCGACGCCTATGATGATGTAGACCACGGGGTTGTCAGAGCTGTCTGGGGAGACCTGGGTATCTGTGGGGGAGAGGCAAGCCCGGGTTCAGCATGCAGGGAGCGAGCAGGTTTCCCACGTCCAGGCAGCTGTAGATCTGTCTGATGTGGCGCGTGTTGGGCTCCAGCCTGGGGCAGACTCTTGCCCCTCTGCTGCCCGCTCCCTCCAGAGGCAACTTGAGTTAACCATAGGTCTCTCTTTGCAGGGATAACCCCTGTGCCCACATCCTCACCATGTCTGTCAGGCACAGGCTGGGGCAGGGAACATCATCAGCTATGCCAGGTAGTGACATGAGCTGCGTCCCAGGGGGACGCAGAGCCCCGACCCTGTATCCCACCCTGAGCACTCAGCATGTGGCAAACTCCCTGATCCCGTGGCTTTGGGCTGTACCTGCAAGGGGATCCTCGGAGGCGAAGCCTCCAGAGCGTGAGCGGGACTGGGCCCTTCACCCACGACTAAGTTTCTGAGTGCCCCTGTGATGTGGGCCTGATTCTGATTTCAATTCTGGCCTCCCAGCTGCTCCTGATTTGCACCCGTGTCACCGAGGCCAGCATCGGGTCCTGGCAGAAGCGGCCTGGTCGTGACTGCTAAGGCCCAGGTGTTTGCAGTCAGTGTATTCTGCTTTTGCTGACCAAGCAGGTCGCGTGTCTAATGAAGCTCACAACAGCCTGTTTACCTGCCCGGTCTTTCTCACAGAGGGGCCCCATGTACGGGTCAGGACAGATGCAGCTGAAGCTTGAATTGCCGCTGCCAGGAATGCATACCCCGTCGTTCTGGCAGGGGTTGTGTAGACACGGAGAACCTGCAAGGAGGGAGGGGGATGTGTCAGGCTCTCAGGGGAGTCTGGCCTGGGGGAAGCTTTCCCCTGCTGCCCTGCATGCGAATGGGGAGCCGTGCGGTGCCAGTCCATGTTTTAAGGGGTTTCCTTGGCTCAGTGCCTGATGCCCCGGTGCTTGACCAAGTAAGTGTGTCTTAGTGCAAATGGCTGGTGATGGAGTCGACAGAGAGGAGGGCTGGGATGGCATGGAAGAAGAACTGGAGCTGGGCTGGTCTCAGTGGGGGCAGATGGCAGGACAAGGAGCAATGGGCTCCAGTTGCAGCAAGGGAAGTTGAGGCTGTATATTAGGAAAAACTCTCTCACGAGGAGGGTGGTGAAGCCCTAGACCAGGTTACCCAGAGCGGTGGGGGAGTCCCCATCCTTGGAGGTTTTTAAGGCCCAGCTTGTCTGGGATGATGTAGTTGGGGCTGGTTCTGCCTGGAGCAGGGGGCTGGACTAGATGTGACCTCCTGAGGTCCCTTCCCACCCTCATTGTCTAGGATTCAATGACTGAGAGAAAGGGAATAATAGAACTGGGATGAAACTTAGCTCATGCACTTGGGGAACCAACAACAAGGATTTCTCTTCTAAGCTGCAGACTCCTCAGTTGGAAGGAGAGGAGAAAGACCTGGGTGTATTAGCCAGCATCAAAATGTCCCTAAGCCAGAAACACTAAATGCCATCCTAGAAGGGATCCAGCCTCTCCACTAGAAACAGGGAAGCAATCACACTGCTGCACCACGAGGCCCTGGGGAGACTCTCAAACACTGCATACAGTTTTGGCTTTCCATGTTCAGGAGAGATTCATTCAGTCAGAGAAGGAGACTGGGGTGATCAGGGGGCTGGAGAGTCCATCACAGGGGCATGAGCAGAGGAGCTCAGCTTGTGTCACCAGGACAAATGGTGGTTCAGAGGGGAGACTATTGCTCTTGGTAAGGTATCAAGAGGGTAAATAGCAGGGAGGGAGGAAAGCTGTTTGCACTAAAGGACAAGGATAGGCATGGTTTGGGCAGGGGGTTGCACTAGATGGGACCTCTGGAGCTCTCTTCCAGCCCCACTTTTCTGCGATTCCAAGAACAAACCAGGTTCAACTGGCTGCAAATAAGCGGTGGCTGGAGATCTGGTGGTTTGTAAGCATGAGGAAAGCGAGGTTGTGGAAGGAGCCTCTGCCAAGTGCATGTCCGGGATGTTCTGGGAAGCTTTTGGCAGCACCTGACAGCTGCTTTCAGGCCTGCATCCTTCCCCTCTGCCAAGAGGCCCATCCTGGGTTCCTGCCCGAGGGCCCTCCTTGTACAAGGTCTGCCCGGATGCAGTGCTTGCTCCTAGAGGGACCCTGGGCAGACAGCTCAGGGGCAAGGGGATGTGCATAGAGATGGACTCACTCCGGTAGCATCCACGGGTCAAGTTGGCAATGCTGCAGACCAGCTCGGAGCCACATGGTTCTGGGATGCAGAAGATGCTGGAGCTTTCTGTGCACACACAGGTCTGAGAGCAGTCCTCAGTCCTGAACGTCTCGCCAACCTGGGAGAGAATGGGGAGTGTGTGGTTAAAAACAGACCTCAGGTTTGTCCCAGGTCTAACTGGCCCAGGGTTTGACTAACATCAAAACAGGCATAGAAGCGCCATTGGAATAGTAATTAACTCAAATTATTGTTATCTCAGTATTTCACAAGCCCTTAGAGTGGGACAGGGGGCTTGTGCCACCATAGGATCTCAGAGTAAATCCCATGTCTGTTTGTAGATTCAGAGGCACTGAATAAAATCAGCCAGAAAAACAGGAGTGGATGCCTAGTTGTTCCTTGCAAATCCAGGCCCCTAGCCAGCCCCACAGCCTGCTTGCGTTCTGCCTCAGAGGGAACCCCATCATCATCATGGGCAGAGCCTGCATGTGCTTCAGGTCTGTACCTTCACCCTATGAAAGGAGGCAGCTGCTTTTGCTCTCTGGTAGGGAAAAGAAGCTCCTCCTGGGCAGCCGGGTCTGCAGCAGAACTCAAGGCACAGGCATTTGCGAGGGTCCAGCCCTGTTGGCAGACCCAGGGCTGGAAGGGACCTCAAGCACCATCCAGTCCAGTGTCCTGGATGTGGGTTGTGCTGTTCCCAAGCCATTCCTATGCAGGGACTGGTTCTGCAGGAGCACCATCCAGTCTCTGGGTATGACCCTTAAGCCAATTTGCCACCCACATGACTGTATAATCATCTGTGCTATAGCTGTTCAATTTGTTTATAAGAATAGGATGGAATACCATGTCAAAGGCCTTCTTATGTAGATGACATCTACCTTGACTCCTGCATCTAAGCATTTAATGACCTGATCCTAGGAAGAAACAAAGTTAGTCAGGCAGGATCTACCTGTTATGAACCTGTGC